TTATATTTAATAGCTCACCCACATGCTCCCTCCCTCCTCCCCCCACAGACAACTCTGGCCGTGAACCGGTTCGTCAGTCTGAACCTGGGCCAGCAGTTCGTGGAGAGTCCGGCGGTGACCTTGGGCGACCTGTACCGCGACATGAACAACATCACGCCGCTGGTGTTTGTGCTGTCCACGGGGTCGGACCCCATGAGTGCCTTCCTGCGCTTTGCCAAGGAGATGGATTATACAGAGAGGTACATATTGTAGTTGTGTTTGATTGGGTTCCATTTCTCACAGCAGTGGGAAACAGATGGAGGAAGGGAGGGAGGGAGGGAGGGATGAAGAGGAGAGAGTGGATGGAGGGGAGGAAGAGAGGTATGGAGGGGAAAAAGGGAGGGGAGGAGAGAGATTATCATTATGCTTCTCCAAATTCAAACCAAACTCAAGCCAAATTCAAACCAAATTCAAACTTGGACCAAACTCTGACCAAATTCAAACCAAACTCGGACCAAACTCGGACCAAACTCAAGCCAAACTCGGACCAAGTTTAAACCAAATTCAAACCAAATTCAAACCAATTTCAAACCAAACTCAGACCAAACTCAAACCAAACTCGAGCCAAATTCAAACTAAAGTCAAAACAAACTCAAACCAAATTGAAACCAAACCCAACCCAAACTCAAACCAGATTAAAATCCGACTCAGCCTAATGTTTCCCTGATGTCTCCACTCAGAATCCAGTCCATCTCACTGGGCCAAGGACAAGGGCCCGTGGCGGAGAAGATGATCCAGTCAGCTGTGAAGAACGGGGACTGGGTCTTCCTACAGGTAGGTACAACATGCGGCCACTTTCTTCGTGACCTGCTCACCAGCGTCTGTGACGTAGCAGGGTTGAAACAGCCTTCTAGCTGATCTAAATTGTGTTGATGGGGGTGTAAAAAAGACATCTGCATTGAAAAAAACCAAAGAAACTTTCTCTTCTCCCTTTTCTTCTTCTTCTTGCTGCTGTTGTCCTTCTGTCGTTATTTCTGCCACTTCACAACTGACATCTTAGATTTATTATATTATACCTTTACTGTAATTATCATATTTCTGTTAACAAATTGTTTAAACTATTA